GTCATCTGCAGTTACTTAATTTAACTTTTTGATAGTGACACCTTTCACAGCTGAAAGAAGTTAGGACTGGGAGCACGAGATTGCGAGATCATAACGGGGCTTCTAGACTATCATGTGCTTTGGAATGCCAAATTGGACCACTTTGTCTATAATCATCAATATAACAAAATCAATCGAGCGCAATATGGAAAAAGCAAATATTCATGAAAGCAGCCGATATACATACCGTTGACGTAGTATGTCATGAATGCTATTTGCTGTTGGATTGTAAGCTGTCTGTTGATTTTTGTGAAAATCCATCTAAATTGTACGGCTAATGACCCATTTCATTTGAATCAAATATTCTCTTAGATTAAATTATGATTTTTTTTCAGTATTTGCTCATTAGTCTTACTCTTCATGATTAACTGGAATGTTCCTGGCTCAGTGATTTTACAGGAAGGTCGATGTCTACGTGCTTCGTCAGTCACTAATTGCTGGATTTCAGTCATTCCCTCGAGATTTAAAGACAATAGATTGGGGCGGCCATTGTTATTAGTTTACATGTATGAGCAATACAATGGCAAATGGTCCCATGACGTCATCACGCCAGTATTGGCTATGTTGTTCCTATATCTATCTATCTATCTATCTATTATAATAAACATGCCTTTTTGCTGATTTATCAGTCTAAAAAAAATGTAAATATTGTCTCGATCTCTTGTGATAGTTTCGTCAGTACATACACTGTTCTAGGAGGAATGATCTCAGAAAATGTTATAACGTATCTTATCTTTTTAATATTGATTTTCATCAGAGAGCTGCCTCAAAGCCATCACAGCGAAGGTATGTAGGAGCATTCCTATACCACACATTACAGCACATGACCTAAATAGTACCCTAGGACCATAATACTGGTACATTATACCACCAAAGGCYCCTCCAAGACCCCAGCCCAAACCAAAATATATGCTTGTTATAAGAGCTATAACTGTTGTGGCTATTTCCGGTGGTGAGATGGAAATGGCGTACGATACACAGGCAGCCCACATTGCAGCAAATGTAAACCCGTGAAGGGGTTCTATGGAAAGTACTAGCCAGGGGTTCTGTAGGAAGGAA